ATATAAACCAAGGACTGTAATTAAGTCGCAAGTCTTGGCTGACTTCGTGGCCGGTTTTGGTCAGGGATTACTGCCTCTGGAAACCAAGGCGGCAGTAATGGTGTCAGAATCAACATCAGGGGTTTGGACCTTATTTACGGATGGAGATTCTAATGTAAAAGGGTCCGGACTCGGAATAGTCTTAATCACGCCTTCGGGGGAAACCTTAAGGCAAACTATCAAAACGATCCCTTTAACTAACAATGAAGTAGAGTATGAAGATTTGATTGCAGGGCTCGAATTGGCTCGGGGACTTGATTCCGAGGTTATTGAAATCAAATGTGACTCGCAGCTGGTAGTAAATCAGGTCTACGAGATCTTTGATACCAAAAAGAACGTATGCAACAATACGTGGTAAAGGTCTAGGCTCTTTTGGCACATTTTCGGGAGTGGTCAATTACTCATATACCGAGGGAGGATAATACAGAAGCAGACGCATTAACAAACTTAGGATCATTGATGGAAATAAAGGGATCAGAGTCCGGGACAGTAGTGCAAATGATGAACTTAGTCTTGGATACAGATGGTTACTATGAGGTAAATTCGACTAGTCTAGTCTGGGACAGGAGAAGTGAAATAATCGACTATCTCGAGCACGGGAAGTTTCCCGAAGACCCCAAATCATCACGGGCGTTACGCGCCAAAGCTGCACGTTATAGCTTCAAGAGAGGTCAATTGTATAGAAAATCCTTCTAAGGCCCACTGGCCCGGTGCTTAGGAGCGTCAGAAGCTAATTATGTCATGAGAGAAGTCCACGAAGGAATATGCGCAAATACTCATAGAAACCCTCACATAAAAGGGATAATGCTCAAAACCAAAGTGCTTTGAGAAAAATGCATCCCAGACTACACGTAGTAAAGCGTGAACAGAAAAACGTGTGCAGAATTCTTAAGCAAATGCAAAGGTTAAAGACTTGCATGGATATTCAAACAAAAGTAAAACTCAAACAATACTTGAGCAAAAATATGTCTTTATTTACAAGAACGTGCCAAAACGGCAAAAGTACAAAATGGGAAAAAGAAAAGAAAAGCTAAACTACAGTGTCTCTGGAACTAGGAGGAAGAGAAGTGTCCGTATACCTGGGAGAAGTAGGTGGGTCCACCGATGGCTTGACGTTTTCCCCAGTCTGGTTTTCAGCATCGTCTCTCTCTGATTCCTCTTCAGTTCCCGAAAACTTAGAACTGAAGCCAGAAGAACCAGGAGCATCAGACTGCGCCGGGAATCCATTTTTGGCAGCCAACTCAAGCTCTTGGCCTCTTTCAAGGTTTTTCTCCTCATGTTTTACATGGCATAAGTTTTTTCGACAATGAGGGAAGCTGCTCGACGCTTACGTTCTTCTTTGAGTTGGGTAACCTCGGCAGAAAGGCTTTCCCAAGCAACCTTAATAGATCTAAGGCTAACATCAAGGTCACGGATGGTAGAACTAAAGAGCCTGTTATGCTCGATAGTTTTCTTGTACTTCTCTTCCAACTGGGCATGTTTCGCCCTCACAGCAGCACGCTCTTCAATTTTGGAGTTCAAGGCCACCTCTAAGTCAGTCACTTTTTCGGCAGTAGTAGCCTCGCGCTCGGTTGCAGCAAGAATGATGTCTTGGACTTCAGCCCATTTGGCCTTGGCTTCATCAAATATAACCCTCAGCGGGATAATTTCTTGGCTAAGGGCTACCACTTCTTGCTCACTTTGCTGCAAACGAGCCTCCAAAACAACAGCCTCAGTAGCTTTCGTTTCCAGTTCCGAGCGGCGGAGAATAGTTTGGTCCCGTTCCACCAAAAGTTGATTCCGTTCAGAAGTAAGTTCCTACTTCTCACGAATCAACCTATGAAGGCCCTCAGAAGCAAGAAAGTTGTCCTACAAAACAAGAAGAAGTAAAATCTAGAATATATTCATACAAAAGTAGAAGAAATAACAAAGGAAGAAAGGAACGCACCGCTGCGGCATTATGCATGGCATTGTTCAACAAACACTCCCCCGAGAGTGCTTGAATCTTTTCCCAATCTTTCTCTGAAGCCAAAGGCTTGTGATAGTTAGCAAGCTCCACTGGCCGGGAGAGCATGTTGCACCAGGTAGAGACTGAAAGGATAATAATCCTCCTCCTTTGTGGATCTTCGGAAGGGGCAGCATAATTTTGCCGCAAATTCCCATGAACTGGGGACTAGGGAAGAGGAACAACCTCTCCATGGTCAGGTACGGCCGGTGGAGATGATGTAGCAGTTGCTGGTGGTGGTGAACGGGGAGATGAAGCTGATGGAGTCGAAGGGTGAGAAGCAGTTGCATCAAATGCAGTGCTGGTGGATGTATGCTTGCCAACAGCAGGGATCCGGTACTCAGCCCCGCAGTACCGGACACATCACTTGGGGCCAAAAAATAGGAGTTGGCATTATCTACCAAATCAAATTCTCCCCAAAGTGCCGAGACATCGTCCTCGGTTGGTGTAACTATCTCAACAGGTCGAGCATCCTGTTGAGATGATGAGGATCGTCTCTCTCATCACTAGCTTCTTCTTCATCATCAATCATCACGGTGTCTATGACCGTCCCGGAAGGAGGACCAGTCACTATCACCACCGGAGATGACTCGGGGGCATCAGTCTTTGCCCTCTTATTCTTTTCCCCATCCATGGAGGAACATCTTCTCTTCTGTTGTTTATCCTCCGGCCGGGGACTCCGTAAAGAAGCGTTTGCGCCCGAAACAGGCCCGAAGATACCTATTCGAGTAAGTGCCTCCTGAAGCAGCCTCACTACATCAGCAGGATCAACTAAGACATCCTCATCAGGGACAACAACAGAGCCTGCAGGTAGACCTAATTTCGTGAACAAGTCAGAAGGGTTCGACTAAGTTATCCATATACAAAAAACAAATGGAAGCAAGGTAAGTTAAAATTACCATGATTTTTGGCCTTCCACCCATATTTAAGGGCCAGTTCTTTCTACAAGCGAGTTTCGGGCGTCGTGACGTCCAGGATCTTCTGAACCTACCGGTTCAAGCCTTCTACCCCAGTGGGATCCATCGAGTTTCTGAAACATGTGAAGGGTGAAGAGTCGATATGGCCATAGAAGAATATTTAGTGATAGAAAATATATTAAATAAAGATCTTGCGAGTGCGGTTCCAAGCGACCGGAAAGGATGAAGCCGTTGTCGGAATGATATTATTGGTGGCAACTACAACGAACTGTTCCATCCACCCACGGTCATTATCATCATCCATGCTAGTCAACAGAGCATGGTGACCACATTTGCAGAGGTTTATCATACCCCCACGGAAAATTTTGGGGGAGTAAAGATTCATCATACGAGCTAATGTTAGCTCTTCTCCAGTCTCCTGGCAAAAACGTCGAAGGCAGGCAACCGTCCTCCACACTGAAGGACTTACCTGTGCCAAACACACCTGGTAGCGAAGGCAAAACTCCGCAATCACGGAATCAAGCTCTCCACTGAAAGAAAATGCACCCAAAGTAAAGGGATACGTGTATAAGTATGTAAAACCTTCCTTGGGAAGGGTCACTCGCTCCGATAGATCAGGAGCAATGATATCCAACTCATGGCAGCGACAGTCTTACTTCACAACAGGAATACTGGAAGGACAAATGGAAGAATGGTACTTACTAACAGCCCATGTACGAGGGTTAGTAGTAGGAAAATTCTCTTCAAAGTCCTTTTCTGGTACTGAGTCTTTTTGGGATGATGTAACCCACCGTTGAAGGAGTAGAGTCCTCGGCTTTGTTCTTGTTCTTTGAAGAACCGGCACGCTTGGATGAAGAAGCCATTGAATAAGAAGAAGAAAAAGGTTTTTATTTGAAGAGAATTAGAGAAAGGATGAAGAACAAAGATGCAAATTAGAAGCTCGAGAAATTATGAAGTGCAAAGGAAAAGAATGGTGCGTATAAGTAAAAATTTGGCGGCTAAATTCATGGCCATAATTACCTCGACAATTGGCAAAAGCTGTGCTGAATCGTGGGATGACGCGTGTTCGGGATATTAAATGCGGAGAGACGTGCGTCTAATCAACCGTTAGAAGCCTTCAGAGGGAGTTATAGTAATTCACGCCAAAAGAGTATTTCTACCAACTTTCCGGTAACACAAAGTTATGTCACCGAAAAGAAGGGGGACTATCTGTATAGGGTGAAATATGATATGACACGTGGTCATCTAAAGGAAAGACACGTGGAACCCAAGACGGGGATAACCGAATACCGAACGCAGCCATTCCGCTTGTCACCGGAAGGGATAACGTTCATAAAAGTGTATTAAATGATCTGCGCCCGGTAGTATTTAATAATGAATATTCTGCAACATTAAGAGCGATGACCCGTTACAGAGAATTTGACATTTATGTTCACCGTTACATTTTCATCAATGACCCTCATAATTGACATTAAAGGAGGGCACAATCCTAGGACCTCCTTTCCTAGACACATCTATAAATAGCGAGCCCAATTATCATTGTAAAGGACACGAATTTTCTAGCTAAACTTACACTACATTCTATACAAATCTTAGTACAATCTTACTTTCCCGCTTTTTGATCTCATCATTGCTGTGCCCGAAAACCTTGTTCCCAGAACTGTCATCTCTGCTGTTTCATCTACATTTTAAGGCTAAGTATTGTACATTTCTTCAATTATTGCATTATTTCAGGATCAAATTAGTTCACTTGTCTAGAAATCACGTATAAATTCAACGGTTCCATTTTACGGGTAAATAATAATTTCATGTTCAAGATATCACAATTTATATTATTGTCATGAATTTGACTTTTAGCGGAGATGTGAGCATTTCTGATTTTAGTCGAGCCTATCATATTCTTTCTTAATTTTGAAAAATCAATCGATTGTGGTTCCATGGACGTAATTCAACTTTCCAACGTGTATGAACGTACAATTGCGAAATCAATTTAGGTATGAAAAAGCACATGCATGATGGAAAATATGTTAAGAAATTCAGGTTAACCTTATCTTCACGCTCGATTCCAACGCGTTTCAGACATGAGCGAAATGTAAAACAGCCAACTGGATCATGTACTTTAGCATCAACCACTGCGCTTTTCTAAAAGATTCACCTGTACCACGCGCCTAACCTACGCGTGCGTTTCATCTCTTTCGCCTCCCAAACCTATTAGCGTGCGTGAAACAAATCAGGAAAAAAAAACAGAGGAGCGAAGTTTCCTTTAACACAGGATTTTTCGCAAAACCCCTTCAAACCCCTCCCTTTGATAACCCTAAAATTTTTCTCTCCTCTTTTCTTGCATTGTTATTCACGCAAGGTACTTTCCTCAGATTCCTCTGTTTTCCCCATGTTTTATTTGTTTCTTTTTTATTTGCTGTTAGTTGAGTGTGTTTGCTTTCAGATCTGTTACTCTTCTTCCCATATCGTGTTTGTTGATTATTTTTGTGAAATTTTATTAAATCTTAAATGTTTTTTTGGTGCTATATTTATTTTTGGTTTAAGTATTTTCTTGTTTGTGATGAGGTGTTAAGAGGGAACTTCCGGAGGTTGCTGGGTATTGTTTGTTTTCTTGTTGAATATGGGCAATGTGAGGAACTAGGACACCATTAATTTCAAAAATAGCAAAAATTCTTCTTTGCGTGGTGTTTTTTTTTTTTTTTGGGTTTTTGGGGTCAACGGTTTCATTATTTCTTGTTGGGTTAGCTGATTTTTCCATTAGTCCCATGTTAGTTTCGCATGTTCTTACTTGAATGTTGATGCATGTGCTGATTTTTGTGCGTGTGATCGTGGGTTTGTTGCCAGGAGAAGTATTAAAAATCTCGACGCCTTTGTCGTTTTCTATTTTCTTCTTTGTTCTTGTATTGATAGGGGGCAAGAGGGAGCAAGGTGGGGTAGTAGAAAGTGCGGTTAGTTTAAGCATGACTAAAATAATATCATGAAATGTATGGGGCAAAGAACCTGACAAAAGTATGGTGATTAAGGGAGGTCGTGAAAGGACGATTCCCCTCCAATGTTTTCTAAGAAAGAATGACAAAACAAGTAACATATGCAATAGTTTGAAGAGTGTGGAGTATGAATGGATGGGACCAGTCTTGAAGAGCATGGAGTAACAAATGGGTGGGTATGGACCAATCCTGAATCCAGAGGAGTAGCGGGGGAATTATTGGTGGTTTAGGACAATGGGAACTGTTCTTGTTATTCTCAATAAATCTTATGTCAATTCAGATAAAGCTAGTGTTGTCAAAGGCAAAAAGTGTTAACAAGCGCTCCAGGTCTATCAGGACTTTAAGCGCAAAATGCAATAAACATGTGGGCTTTAGTTAAAAAGATGCAACGAAGAAAAAAGCCAAAATATGTATTTAATACGAAAAAAGAGTAACAACTTCATTCATAATGGTATTTCGTAACAATTAATGTATCTTTTTGCGAATCATATTTATTGTTTAGTATATATCCAAGATGGAACTTATGGGCGATGAGGTGCACGCCTTAGGTGCCTTGCCTACATTGGAGCGCAACCTAAGTGAGGCGAAGCGCCTGCCTTGAGTTTCTCTGAGGTTCAAGGCTAAACGCTCCTTATATGAGCCTTTGACAACACCATAGCGACCAAGATGTTGAGTGGATTCTCCTAGCTTTCGAAGATTGTAGATCTAAAAACACAACACTATGGGCAGAGTTGTAGGAGGCAAGACGTAAGTGGTGGCAAGCTTGGATGATAGTTTCTCAACTTAGTTTTCTACTCCTATGACAGGTTTGGATATCACGTGAGTGATAGGGGGCACATTAACACCATTAGGGTTTTGAATGAAAGGATGGGAAGTAGAGCAGTGTGGGGGGCAATGGAGTTCTCGGAGTTAATCAATAAATATTTTCTTATTGACCTTCCTCTGAAAAGACTGTATTTACTTGGGCAGGGTCAGTTGATTCAACTTCTAAATCAAGACTTGACAAATTCTTAGCGTTTATTACATAAAGGAATTGGTTCTGAAAGTGTTGCAAGTCATATTTCCATGGTGATTTTTGATCACTCGTCAGTCATGCTAGATATGAAGGAATGCACGACCCCCTTTATATTTGAGAATGTATGGTTGAAAGCTACAAACTGTGGAAATAAGGTCTTTGATAGGTGGAGAGTGGAGATGCTAGAAAGTTAAAAGTAGATCATCATTCCAGTTGGCAAAGAAGCTCATATACTACAACTGGACATAAGCATGTGGAATAAGGAGGCTCTTGGAAGGGTAGAAGTATAGATGAAGGAACTTAACGGGAAGGTGGGAGAGCTAAAGGGAAGGGGGTTATAGTACAGGGTAAAAGAAAGGGAAGAGGACATAACTTTCTTGGCAATAGCATAGGAGAATAGCGGCAATGAAAATCGAGTGCCTTATGGAGGATGAAAACTCAAACACAAAAAATTTTCATAGGATAGCAAGGATAAATAGGAGAAGTAAGGTCATACAATATGAGTATGTGAATGGCATGGGTTATAAAGGCGAGGAGGCGTGAGGGACAATTATTGGATTTTATGAATTCCTGTATACACATGGAAACGAGTGGTTAGAGAGAGAAAAGAAAAGAGGTGAGGGAGGTGTTATAGAGTTGTGCAGAAGATAAGGCACCATGCTCCAATGAATTTACCTTGGTTTTGTTTCAATCTATGTTGCTCGTTCTCTTCGAAAATGTCACCGAGTGCGTGTCAGTTTCTCCAAAAGTAGTGTATTTTTGGAGAATCCAACACGGGTGCGGCAATATTTCGGAGAGTCCCCGCGACATAGGTTTCAATAATGCCGGAACATGATCAATGAAGATTTATTGGATACTATTGCTGCTTAGCAACAGAGGAGTCTATTGTGCCAGAAGGGAGGAGCTTTGTGTATCATATACTACATGCTTATTAATCTAGTGAGAAGCATCTAATATATAATTTTTAAGGTGCTTTCCAACAGTTTATCACTTATGAAGATGGTGGACAAGACAATGTCTACATTCTAAAATGCGTTTGTTGAAGGCAAATTCTTGGTGCGAAAATAGGTGCAAATGAAGTGGTTGATTGTATAAGTAAGAAAGGTGAGCCAGGGTAAATTTCCAGGTAGACCTTCAAGAGCCTACAACCATGTAAATTGGGAGGTTGTGGATATTGTTATGATGAGGATAATACTTGGAGATAGGTGGGAGAGTGGATTAGGAAGTGTTATCAAAGGCACGCTTAAGCCTTGAAGCAAGGCTCACAACATGTTGAGCGCTTTGCCTCGCTTAAGGGGTGCTTCAGTATTGCCATCAAGGCTCTAAGGCATATTTTTCCTTGCCAATGAGTGTAATCGTGAAGAGGCGACACTAAATAATTGATATTTCACTTTATCGTAAATTTTCTGTAATTTCTTTGTCCATATATTTGGTATTCATGCTTATAGATATTAGTCTTTGACTACACGTACATATTTGTGGTTTTTCTTTCTTCATTAATTTGCGTTTTGCGCTTAAAGCCCAACAAACCTTAGAGAGGTTTTGCGCTTTTTGCCTTTGATAACACTTAGGTTTTGCATACAGACAATTAGATACTCGATCCTCGGGAATGTTTGTGCAGACTTTTAGGGAATTCGAGGGGTCTTAGACAAGAGACCCTTTATCAACCATGTTTCTTTGTTTCGGTAATGAAAACTTAACAAGATGATGGATAGGACGGCCGTCGGAGGCAACATGAGGGGTTTTGTTGTGCTTGTCTGGGGAAAAACATCGTAAAAATCTCACATCTCCTATTTTCTACATATTCGAGGCCCACATTATTTAAGAAAATCAATTTTTGTCGAGGTTGAGTTAGGCCTGAGGTCATCTTCTTATGATGGTACCAAAGTCTAGCCTTGGACGTGCGCTAGGTGTTGAAGCCCGGTGACTGGCACGCTCAGAACATTTTCATGTGGTTTTGAGTGGTGTTAGAACTCAAGATCTACCTTAGGAATTCGAGATCATGCCAATGGAAGAGGTGGACAATTGGGTTGCCGTTGATTACAGCAAACCAAAATCAAGAATCATAGAACCTGGTCATTAAAAGAGCTGAGAAGATGTTAACAGGGTGGCAAAAAAGATACTTGTCAAAAGGAAGTACTAATAAAAACACACACTATTGATACTTCATAAAACACATACTATTGATCATCTACGCATACTATGTCATTGTTACAGCACTAGCTAGTGTAACTGCTTCATATGAACTTATGAGATGCAACAGATAGGTTTAGGAAGCACCATCTTGGCTGCTAGGAGGTGGTCATTTGGGTAAAGCACCTTAAAGTGTTTAACATAGCGTTGCTGGAAATTATTTGTGGAGCTTCAGAACCGAGGAGAGGGCTCTATGGAGGGAAATGCTAGTAGCAATATGAAACCTTCGACAGGGGATGGAGAACTAGGAACATCTCTTTATTTTTCGGCTGTGGTCTTTGAAGGAACATCATAGGGGAATGGGGCGCCTTCAGTGACAACATTTCATTTCGGGTAGGAGATAAAACATAATTAATTTCAGGGTGGGTTCAGAGAGAATGTGTTGAAGTCCATGTTACATAATACTGTGTTTTGATAAGTCAAAATACAACAACCACCACCCTGTGCAATCCCACCCCAGTGCAATCCCACACAGTGGGGTCCGGTCAAAATGAGGATGGAGCTCTGTGGAACATGAGATTCAGGAGGAGCTTGCACGGCTGGAAAGTGTAACTAAATTTCAAAGTCTGGTGGAGCATAATATTTTACACACTAGCCGCGATTCGTGGAGGTGGGTTAAGCAGAGATGGAATGTTTACTGTTAAGTCATAGATTCCCATAAGCTGTTGGTGGAAGAGGAAGCCAGTTTCTCCCATTCACCAGCTTGGATACTAGAGTGCCTAAAAAGATTTGCTTTGCTTGGGTGGTAGCAAGGGGTGCCACCCTGGCAGCTGAGAATCTGAGAACAAGGAGAATTGCATATGCAGTGTTCTATGTGTAAATGCTCAGGTGAAGATATGAACCACCTCATATTGCATTATGTGGCAATGCGACTGTGGTGAGAAGTGTTAAATTAGTTTAGTCCACATTGGACGATGCTAGATACAGTAACCTAGATGCTACATAGTTGGGCCCACAAAAGAAGAGAAGACACTACTTTTGTTGTTCTCTACAAAGAGGAATATGAGAGCCTATTTTTAATGGGGTAGAATCTGACTTTATGCATATACAGAATAACCTCCTTTTCTAGGTTTTTTAGGTGCATCCACGAGGTTCCACTTTGTATAGAAGACTGGGTGCGCTTTGTCGAGAACCATAATCTTTTGTGTAGATTTTTTATTTTTTGATATAATTTTTTTGTATACGGGGTGTTTCCCATGTTCAATAATATTAATTTTTACCCTATCCCATAAGAAAAGGGATATGAGGAAGGTGTGGAAGAATATCTGGAGCAGTAAGGCGCTGAAGATAGTAGCATTCTTTACTTGGAGCAGTGAGGGATACAATTTTAACAGCCGATAACTTAATGAAGAGGAAATGAATTGTAATGAGTTGCTATTACTTGTGCAAGGAATAGAACGAGAATAGAAACCACCTGCTGTTGCATACCAAATTTACAGGACAGATATTGACCATAGTATTCTCGTTGTTCATCTCGGGGTTATTATCGGAGACAGTGGATGAAGCAATGACGAAATGAGGCTACAGAAGATTGGGAGTGAAAGGAAAACAGCTTGGGGAATAGCACCATTATATCTATTTTTTGGACTATCTAGAGATATAGATTTAAGGTTTTTTCTTAGTAGGGTGATAGATATAAGAAATATCTGAAGGTCATTTCATTCTGTTCATACTAATGGTGAAAAGAGAATTTCCAGTTGCTAGATAGTTTGGTTGATTTGATAAATGGCTGATATATGTAAAGAAAAAAAAGGTTTTGGTGTAAACAAATGAACCCATTTTGTATGAATTAGTTTGTTTTATGTATCGAACGAACATTTTCTTGTTTGCAAGTTTAAATAACACTCAAAAGGATAGGGGAAACTGGAAAAGCGTGCCAATATGCTAACATAATGATACACAGCATTTTATTTGAATTTACCTTTCTGAGTGCATTCAGCCAACTGATTTCAGTTTCCCATCTAGTGAAATTTGGGAAAGTAATTGTGTTGCACTTCTGCAGCTTCATTATATTTATCTTCTGCTCTTAGCAAAACTCATAGAAGTTCCTCTTGTTTGCTCATTTGTGAAAATCATTTATGATCCTTCTCAATGCAATATAACATGTTGTGTTTGGTATGAGTAGTCCGTAAAATTTTAACTTTGCTGCGACATTGTGTGTTTGTGTTTCTGTTGAAATTCTGAATCTTTGTATACGTCTTGTCAAAATTTTGATCATGGAATTTGAAGTGCCTGTTCCTAAGATGTTCACAAGGGTAATCAATATTTCACGAAACTGTTTATAGCTTATTTTAGAGGCCTGAGCTGCAGAGATGCATCATCAGTTATGCATCTTAACATCTGATTGTGTCAGGGAGGGGTTGCTGCTGCTACATTCTTGTTTGGCTTTCTTTCGTAGATTTCTGGAGGTGAGAATTTCCACTTAATCTTATTGCTTAAGTTATCTACCTTGTCCCACCTCAGCAAGATAAACTGCATTAAAATAAGGTTGTATTTTTGTTTTGGGATCTGTAGATTGCTCGTTAAAATCCTATACAGACCTCCGGGGTACTTGGGTAAGATATCTAGAGCTATTCCTCTTTTAAAAGAATAGTCACAGTAATTCCTGAATTTACTCTTCAATTCTTGTTTTGGGATCTGTAGGTTGCTCGTTAAAATCCTATCCAGACCTCTGTGGTACTTAGGTAAGATATCTAGAGCTATTCTTCTTTTAAAAGAATAGTCACAGTAATTCCCATATTTACTCTTCAATTCTTGGTTCCCTTCTTTCTGTGGCAGGATGTACTTTAACAATTCTTAGCTCAAGGCTTGCAGTCTTAACCATGGGAAGGTGGGGAACCAGATCTTTTGACCTGCATCCAATTTAACTTCCCATTCTGATTTCCTTTTCACTCATTTCGAAGTGGATAGCGCTCTAGGTTTCAGCGTGAATGCTTTAAATTTGTGATGTTCTATATGATTTAAGTATAACTTCAGATGCTCTATAAGACTGAATTGAGGATGAAACTTCTCCAAAAACCACGTATGTTAAAGTTGTTTGCTCTAATATCTGAGTTACTGTACTTGTAAAAAAAGTGATAATGATAACTGGATAAAACTAAGAAATAATGCTCAATAGATGAAGGGATTTGTTAGATAAAGAGAAGTTTCTGTTAGTTGAGATGACTTTCTTACTGATGTTATATTAAGGGTTGGCATGATTATGAGCATAGTTTGATTGTGAATATCTTTGCCTTTGCTGGGGTTTTCAACTATCCTGTAAAGGTACTATTTTTCTACCAGATGACCTATAAAACTTGGTGTCCATCATGATAAACATGACGGGGTGCGATTAACATTCTTGGGGTCACATCAACCTATTTTTAATGGAACATTGAAGTCCCATTTCAGTCAAATTGTCTCTATACATTTGCATGTTTGTCTAAAACACTTATGGATGTGACACCAACATAGATCCAATGTTTTATTACAAGAACTGGATTTCCTTACATTTTTCCGATCACAATGTTTTTATTAACTTGAACAACAGCCGTTATGCAGTTGTTACGAACTGGATGAACAATATGCTATAATGGAACACATTAGATCTAACTAGGTCGTGAATGTTAAAGCAGGTTCTGCATGGATTAGACGATCGATAAACCGATAAGGAGAGTAAAGAAGTATGAAATTGTGGCCTATAGTAGCAGTAAAACAAACCATAGCTGCATAGGACACTTCATAGGCTTTTGCTATTGTTCCAGGCACAAGTTTGTGTGGCCTGGTTATCTGGAACCCAGAAATGAAGAGACAGAGAAAGGCGGCTTCTTTTGGTGTAGTTTTGTCTTTGAGAGTAAAACTGCCTAGGAAATTGCCAATGGTATGAAATCTGTATGAATAATAGAAGGAGAGATTTATCCCTTATTTTTCGATAGATTCTTTATTAAGATGGGAAAGAGATGGCTTTGTCTGTTGCCATAGAAATAGAATTCTTCTATTTGTCTGATGCTATGCCTGTAGCTCTTGGAAACTTCCAAAGGAAGATGGTATTTTGTCTCTCTTTGTGAAACAAATGAACATTGACATCTAATGTACGATAAACAGGAGTTTACCCACTGTCACTTTGTGAACGATAGTAAACATTGTTAGACTTATTATTTTGCTTCATTACCTTTTGGGGGTCAACCTGCTAAGGGAAAGTGCTAAAAATTTATATGACCAAAGATGTGACACTATAAGATTCTTCTCCGATGTCGATGTGAGTAGTTTTAAATAATTGATAGAATAAACTTCGACTCCCTTTTAAGCTCACAAGTTTAAAGTGTCGTGCAGTTTTGACTTCACTTTGAAAAGGGATGAAATGTCAGTTACCGTTAAAAAAAAAAGGCATGAAATGTCAGTTATTGGCACTCACAACCAAATGAAAATATATATTTTCCTGACTCACTTATGGTACAGATGTGATAAGCACCAAATCATAGCAAATTGTTTTAACCTAAGGCATCTATGGTGGACTCTCATAGACTCATATGGAAGTTCATTTATATGGATGTCATGAGCAAGGATAGGCTTCAGTGTCTGAGATCTACTTTAAATGCAAGAATGGAAAATCGATACAAATCTTTGTGTCATATCTTTTGGTCAGATCCACTCATTTTTTCTGTTTCGCCACTGCTGTAGATACTCTGTATGCTATCTCATATGTTTTTTATATCCAGTTTTCGGTGTTCTTAGTGCTTCGTCCAGTGAGAAAAGAACTACAGAGAAATTCAAGTTTAGAGGCACTCCAAGAAGTCCTGAAATCTGGCCCAGGGAAAGATCTTTCAGAGTTTTACCAGGACAAGGAAGGGAAGCAATTGATCTTATCCAAGTGCAAAATGTCTGAGCAACTCCCAAAGTTGAGTAAAAAGCAATTTAAGACTCAAGAGCAAAAAAGAGCATCTTCAAGTCCCAAGCATCATTCTTCTAGAAAGCAGCACAGGAAAGGGGAAAACCCTCTCCGAATCCCACCAGTTACGGAGCCGTGTGAAGATGTGAATTGTTCAAATTCATGGATCTGCAAAAATGCTGCATGCCGGGCCACTATTTCGATAGATGACACTTTTTGCAAAAGGTGCTCTTGTTGCATTTGTCACTTATTTGATGACAACAAGGATCCTAGTCTTTGGTTGGAGTGCACATCTGAATCTGGTCAGGGGGGCTCGTGTGGCTTGACTTGCCACATTGAGTGTGCCCTCCAACGTGAGAAGGTGGGAGTTGTTGATCTAGGACAACTGATGCAGCTAGATGGGAGCTATTGTTGTGCTTCTTGTGGTAAAGTCTCAGGAATTCTTGGGTAAGTTTCCTTTAGAGAAGTATAATATTTTTTCACTTTTCAATGTGTGTGTGATAGAGGACTTATTCCCTTGTCAAAAGATTGTGCGGAAGGATAAGTCTTAAAGCTATCTCCTTCTGAATTCTTTTATAAGCTTCCTGCTACCAAGTGTCACTTTACAGTGTTGAAGGTGTTAATTGTTTCTTCTCTGTTCAATCTTGATTAGTTATTTAAGTATTAAAGGTAGTACTGTTATTGAATTCTTTTGGGTTGATTAGAATCGTTAATAGCTCATTTTTGACTAACAGCATGTTAACCTTAAGAAACGTTTCCACCTAGCGATGTATAGACTGTAGTTTGCAGAATGAGCAATCATTTTGAGTGAATTTTAGAGTGTCAAGCTCTATGGCATTTCCAAAAAGCTAGTAGATGTTAGAAATCCTCTTTATTGGCAACAACTGTACAGTAATAGCTGNACTAACAGCATGTTAACCTTAAGAAACGTTTCCACCTAGTGATGTATAGACAGTAGTTTGCAGAATGAGCAATCATTTTGAGTGAATTTTAGAGTGTCAAGCTATGGCATTTCCAAAAAGCTAGATGTTAGAAATCCTCTTTATTGGCAATAACTGTACAGTAATACCCATCCACTTTTGGCCCTCCTGCATGAAGAGAAGCATCGGTTATCTCCTTGTGTATAATGCTATTAATCTCGTCGTGTTTGTTGAACCTTTTTCTCTTCCACTATGGAATTTGGTAGGTTTTGGAAGAAACAGCTTTGTGTAGCTAAGGATGCCCGTCGTGTTGATGTCCTCTGCTACAGAATATACTTGAGTTACAGGCTCCTGGATGGGACATCCAGATTTAAAGAACTCCATGAAATTGTTAAAGAAGCCAAGGCCAAATTGGAGATGGAAGTGGGCCCAGTGAATGGAGTATCATCGAAGATGGCTCGGGGAATTGTTAGCAGACTTTCTATTGCCAGCGATATTCAGTCATTGTGCTCGATTGCCATTGAGAAAGCTGATGAATGGCTGGCAACAAAGACTAACAAACCTTCTAATTCCTCAGGTACCATTTCTTATTTTATTCTTCAGAGGTGGCACTGAATGTAGCAAGTTGAATCTAGAGTACTTTAGTAGTAATGCTTTCCTGTTGCTACTTCGTGCCAGAGGGTTCACTTCCTGCAGCGTGCAAATTCCTTTTTGATGAAGTGACANTGACGTCAACTTCGGTTGTAATTGTTCTGATAGAAGTATCCGCTGAATCTTCTGAAGATGTCAAGGGCTACAAGCTCTGGTACTGCAAGGCCAGAGAAGACACTTATACACAAGAACCTGTTTGTGTCTTTCCAAGAACTCAGCGAAGGATTTTGATATCGAATTTACAGCCTTGCACAGAGTATTCTTTTCGGATAGTTTCCTATACAGACACCAGTGATGTGGGACACTCTGAGGCAAAGTGTTTCACAAAGAGTATTGAGATAATACACAGGAAGTCTAATTCAGTAGCAGGACACAAAAGGAAGGTGAATCAGGATACTGGAGGAAACTCTGGCTCCAAAGAGGGCTACTACACTGGAAAAGACATTGAGTTTGATTCTGGATTCAAGGTCCGAGACCTTGGTAAAATTCTAAGACTGGCATGGGCTCAACAGCAAGGATGTTTAGAGGGATTTTGTGGACCTTCATTTGCAAAATGCTGTGAGTCTTGTAGTACTGTTAAGCCTGAACCTGTACAGGAAGAGAGGAAGCCATCTACTTCTCGCCAGCTTGACTTAAATGTTGCTTCAGTACCCGATTTAAATGAAGAGTTAACCCCCTCGTCCAGAGATGAAGATAATGGCTGCACTTTAGGGCAGACTGTTGAAGCAGTTGATGACGCCACCTCTCATGACAATGAGAGGAATGGTCTTGCCGGATCACATGGTAGCGGAGATTCCCAGAACTGGAACCAGGGGAAGAATGGAGATGTGTCAGCTGTTGGTTCTCAGATGGAAGATTGTCGGAAGAGGGGAACTAGCAATAATCGTGAGACACATGACTCTGATAGCACCTTGGTCAATGGTTCACCTATCCGAATTCGTACAGGGGGCTTGGATGAGAACTTTGAATACTGTGTTAAGATCATCCGTTGGCTGGAATGTCAGGGTTTGATCGAGAAGGAGTTCAGGTTAAAGTTGCTTACTTGGTTTAGCTTGAGATCAACGGAGCAGGAGCGTAGGGTGGTAAATACCTTCATTCAAACACTAATTGATGATCCAGGTAGCTTGGCTGGTCAATTGGTTGATACCTTTTCAGAAATGATATCCAGCAAGAGGCCACCGAATGGTTTTTGTTGTAAGCTTTGGCATTAACTTGTGAAGCGCATAAAGGATCAAAAACTGGTACCTAGGTTCAAAATTGATTCAGACGATATTCTTCGCAGACCATCTTACTTGTCTGTACACTCATTTTTTTCTCTCTATATTTTGTAGTGAAATGATTCATTCATGTAGGGACAAACCTGTCCAGCTACAAGATTTGGGTTGTTATTCATGTGGGCAGTTCTTGACTTTTTCTCCATGGGGGGAGAATTAGATTGAATGAATTCACATTTGTAGGAAACAATGTCTCATTTCTCTTCCTTGATTGCATTTGAGGCATTGACTTTTGGTACTTAATCGGGATGCATATATAGCGACAAGCAACAAAAGATGAGCAATGATGGGTAGTTGTCTTCGGTATTTCGGCTTTTTAATCACATTCTTTTTGGCCATTTGGGGAATGCTTTGAACTAGTTAAAAAGTGCACAAATACCAAATTTTAGGGCCACTGTTTAAGGTGTACCTTAAGTTCAATTTTTTTTTTTTTGCAATTTTACCGACTTAGGACGTACGCACTAAAGCAGCACAATCAATGTCTGAAGTTACAAATTTTGTTTAAAGTTGGGAACTACAGATGAAAATGTCTTTAGGGCATATAAAAAATTAGCTGCACTTCAGACACATACATCTGAGTAGGGGTGTACAAATCGAACGAAAAAACCGTACCAAACCGAAAAGTCAAACCAAATCGATTAAAAAATCTGACTAGGTTTGGTTTAATTTAGTTTGGTATTGAGTAAAAGAACCCGAACCAAACCGACATATAAATATTTAATTTTTTTTATATAATTTTATGACTTTATATAGAATTTTATTTAAAAGATGTCTAGAAATATTTGAGATCCTCTGATGGGATATAATATTTAATAGAACTATAAAGTGCATTCATTTTTATTTACTTTAAATAATAAATTGTATCACTTTCTTATTATGTGTTATTGAAGCCAATCATCTCTTTGTTCTTTCATATTCATGTGTCAAGATTTATTATATGTTTTTCGAATTTGAAGTGGTATTTCGATAATCTAAAATTACATAGAACATATCATTATTTAGGTATCATATTGATTTTTATGTTTAATTATTAAATTTGGTTAACCCTGAAAGCGTACATCAACCAAAAAATATTGGTAGACGACTAAGAAAATAAACTATTATGTGTTACTAAAATAATTCTCCCATAAGATCACTTTAATAGATCATATGTTTGCTAGTTTTTTAATAATTTTTAGTAAACATATTCATTTATCAAAATTTTATTTATAACTTTAATAATGCAATATTGAAATAATATTCATGTACAAAAAAATCCGAAAAATCCGACAAAACCGAACCAATCCAAACCGATATAATTGGTTTGGTTTGATTTTAATAAAATCCGAACCAACCCGGTCCATGTACACCTCTACATCTGAGTTGTTGTAAAAATTGCATGGGGCGCCCTATTTGGTTGCCCCCATTTAACCTATACCCATATTTTTAAAATTATTTAACCTATACCCTAATTTTGACAACTTCAGATCCTGCGACCTATGCGCTCCTTTCTTCCTCCTCTTCTTTTCCTCTTCTTCTTCTTTTCTCTCTCAAACATGTTATCCTGTAAGTTACACANCCTATTTGGTCGCCCCCATTTAACCTATACCCATATTTTTAAAATTATTTAACCTATACCCTAATTTTGACAACTTCAGATCCTGCGACCTATGCGCTCCTTTCTTCCTCCTCTTCTTTTCCTCTTCTTCTTCTTTTCTCTCTCAAACATGTTATCCTGTAAGTTACACATGTTATCGTTTCTGAAAATTGGACAAAGCGACAAATCAAGAAGAAAGAAAGACTCGCCACTGCCTCTCAAACATTAATACATCCCAACAGAAAGTACGTAAATAATAAAATAAGAGTTTATTGTCAAAACTCGAAGAAGCATCAACTGAAGTTTGGGACTGCAGGGACAAACTTCAGACAAATTCAGGTTAAATTTTACCTGAAGTTTGCAACTATCATGCCAGAAAAAAATATCTGAAGTTCAAATATAACAAGCAGGTTTTGTCTGAAGTTTGCACTACAAACTGAAGAACTTCAGACTAATTTGTCTGAAGTTTGCACTACAAACTGAAGAACTTCAGACTAATTTGTCTAAAATTTGCACCCCAACACAAAGTACGTAAATAATAAAACAAGAGTTTATTGTCAAAACTCGAAGAAGCATCAACTGAAGTTTGGGACTGCAGGGCCAAACTTCAGACATAACCAAGTTAAATTTTGTCTGAAGTTTGCAACTATCATGCCAGAAAAAATTATCTGAAGTTCAAATATAACAAGCTGATTTTGTCTGAAGTTTGCACTACAAACTAAAAAACTTCAGATTAATTTGTCTGAAATTTGCACTATGAACTGAAATTTTTTTGATTGCTTTTGCAAGTCAGGCCAAACTTCAGACGAAAATATCTGAAGTTTTACTTTGATAAGGTCACACTTCAGGCAAAAAATTCTGAAGTTCAAACTTCAGACATAAATTCTTGCTACTTCCGGATTGTGACCCAAAAACTGGATATAGATGAAAATCCCCCAATTGTAATTAATACATAGGGCGCCCTATTTGGTCGCCCCTATTTAACCTATACCCATATTTTTAAAATTATTTAACCTATACCCATATTTTTAAAATTATTTAACCTATACCCTAATTTTGACAACTTCAGATCCTACGACCTATGTGCTCCTTTCTTCCTCTTCTTCTTCTTCTTCTTCTTCTTCTTCTTCTTCTTCTTCTTCTTCTTCTTCTTCTTCTTCTTCTTCTTCTTCTTCTTCTTTTCTCTCTCAAGCATGTTATCCTGTAAGTTACACATGTTATTATTTCTGAAAATTGGATAAAGCGACAAATCAAGAAGAAAGAAAGACTCGCCACTGCCTCTCAAACATTAATACATCCCAACACAAAGTACGTAAATAATAAAACAAGAATTTATTGTCAAAACTCGATAAAGCATCAACTGAAGTTTGGGACTACAGGGACAAACTTCAGACATTACTAGGTTAAATTTTATCTGAAGTTTGCAACTATCATGCCAGGAAAAATTATCTGAAGTTCAAATATAACAAGCTGATTTTGTCTGAAGTTTGCACTACAAACTGAAGAACTTCAGACTAATTTGTTTGAAGTTTGCACTACAAACTAAAGAACTTCAGACTAATTTGTCTGAAGTTTGCACTACAAACTGAAGAACTTTAGACTAATTTATCTGGAATTTGCACCCAAACACAAAGTACGTAAATAATAAAACAAGAGTTTATTGTCAAAACTCGAAGAAGCATCAACTGAAGTTTAGGACTGCAGGGCCAAACTTCAGACATTACCAAGTTAAATTTTGTCTGAAGTTTGCAACTATCATGCCAGGAAAAATTATCTAAAGTTCAAATATAACAAGCTGATTTTGTCTAAAGTTTGCACTACAAACTGAAGAACTTCAGACTAATTTGTCTGAAGTTTGCACTACAAATTGAAGAACTTCAGACTAATTTGTCTGAAATTTGCACTACGAAGTAAAGATTTTTTGATTGCTTTTGCAAGTCAGGCCAAACTTCAGACGAAAATATCTGAAGTTTTACTTTGATAAGGTCACACTTCAGGCAAAAAATTATGAAGTTCAAACTTCAAACATAAATTCTTGCTACTTTAGGCCCCGTATGTCTGAAATTACCCAAAAAGTGGGTACGCTTGTAATTATTTTTGCAAAGTGGGTATAAGTTAAATTGTGACCCAAAAATTGGGTATAGATACAAATCCCCCTGAATTGTTTGGGTTTACAAAGCTAACATTTGATTTTTGTTGCAGGCTAAAGTGAGAGGGAGCAAGACTGGAGAAAGGAAAAGTTTTCTCTCACTGAAGCCTTCCAAGGAGGGAGCGTGGCTTCTGAAAATGGAAAAGAAAGTCAGATTGGTATTGGCAAGATTGATAAGTCACTCTTGTAAATACCTAATTTTTGACACGCACAATTTTAAAGTCATTTTAGTATTTTGCATATTCCTAAATGTTTATTTGAGTTTAATTTTATATTTCTAAGGTTTCAATCCATTTTATTTTAGTATAATTTTTGTAAATACCAAAAAGATAATTTCATTGTTAAATATAGCTTTGTTATTATTTTTCTTAATAGTTTATTTGGGTATATTAATTAGTAATTAACAATTTTGTAGTATTTTTATTTTTATAGAGATAGGAAGAATTGAGTTTAGACTTATTATTTTGTCTTGCTTCGGATTTAAATACTCATCTAGCCCAATTTTTGAATTTTGTAGTATTTTTTATTTTTATAGAGATAGGAAGAATTGAGTTTAGACTTATTATTTTGTCTTGCTTCGGATTTAAATACTCATCTAGCCCAATTTTCGAGGGGGATTTGCATCTATACTCAGTTTTTGGGTCACAATTTAACTTATACCCGCTTTATAAAAATAATTGCAAGCATACCCACTTTTCGTGTAACTTCAGACATACGGGGCCTGAAGTAGCAAAAATATATGTCTGAAGTTTGAACTTCAGAATTTTTTGCCTGAAGTGTGACCTTATCAAAGTAAAACTTCGGATATTTTCGTCTGAAGTTTGGCCTGACTTGCAAAAGCAATCAAAAAAACTTCAGTTCGTAGAGCAAACTTCAGACAAATTAGTCTGAAGTTCTTCAGTTTGTAGTGCAAACTTCAGACAAATTAGTCTGAAGTTCTTCAATTTGTAGTGTAAACTTCCGACAAAATCAGCTTGTTATATTTGAACTTCAGATAATTTTTCCTCGCATGATAGTTGCAAACTTCAAATAAAATTTAACTTGGTAATGTCTGAAGTTTGACCCTGCAGTCCCAAACTTCAGTTGATGCTTCTTCGATTTTGACAATAAACTCTTGTTTTATTATTTACGTACTTTGTATTGGGGTGTAAACTTTAGACAAATTAGTCTGAAGTTTTTCAGTTTATAGTGCAAAACTCAGATAAATTAGTCTGAAGTTCTTCAGTTTGTAGTGCAAACTTCAGACAAAATCAACTTGTTATATTTGAACTTCACATAATTTTTTCTGGCATGATAGTTGCAAACTTCAGGTAAAATTTAACATGGTAATGTCTGAAGTTTGTCCCTGCAGTCCCAAACTTCAGTTGATGCTTCTTTGAGTTTTGATAATAAACTCTTGTTTTATTATTTACGTACTTTGTGTTGGGATGTATTAATGTTTGAGAGGTAGTGGCGAGTCTTTATTTCTTCTTAATTTGTCGCTTTGTCCAATTTCCAGAAACGATAACATATT